CCGTGAGAGCCCACAAGGGACGTGCTTATATTTATGGTACCCAAGAAGCCTTGAGTATTAATTATCATCCTGAACTTCCCTATTCTCACTCAACCTTGAAATTTTGACTCTATACTGAGTAATAAGAAGAATGCCATCAATTAGATAGGAAGGATTCCACAACCCAGAATAAGTAATATGGAGAAATACCTTGTTCAGAAAGTTGCTCATCAAGCACCTTCGCTATCTATTTGCAGAAAAGATCATCACATCAGATTACAAAATTGCAACAGAGAAAAACAAGCAAGCAAGCAAGCAAAATTGTGCAATCTTATGTGCCTTATTTATTTGGTGGGTCCTTTCTCTCTGAGTCAATGTTACCTTATTAAAATGTTCATATTGACGGTTACCCAGGCCAAAAACACCATATGTGAGTTGATGAAGCCAGGGCTCCCTTTCATTTCCCTACAATTATAATAAAACAACGTAATGAACATTAATTAACAAAAAGAGTGAATGCTGGAATAATACAAATTCTAATTTTGAATGTACATTTCAGGTAGCCACCAACCTCAGTAAACCATTTGTAAAATCTAGCAGCATTATCAGTTGGCTCCCCATCTCCATAACTACAAAGTCACACTCAACTATATTAAATGCCCCATACTTTACAGAGCGACAAAACAAGTACAAAAGTAACAAAATAAAGAATTGCGCCAATAGAAGTAAGAATCTATCTTACGTGGCCACCATGAAAAAAGCCAAAGTCTCCTTTTTGAGCTTCTCTTCATATTGCTCATCATCCACAGCATAATCATCCTAGTATAAAACATACACAATTTGATGAACGTAACTGCAAATACTAGAGCAAATTCTCAAGTAAGAAAATAACGTAACAGAATAGTTTCCTATACATACCAGGTCAACAACTTTGACTGCTGCTTTCTCATATCTTGCCTTGATCTCTTCTGCTAAAGCCTACAAAGGAAATTCTCATATCAAAACATGGTCATTTGAATAAAAACAGACACCTTTCCCAATCATGTGGCACCACTTGCCAAGCACATGTCAATTTGGGTACAGTGTAACAGCAAATAACAGAAAGAAAACTCCCCATGTAGCTAAATTAGCTGCAATTGGCAACAAAAACAATTAATAAAAAAGATTTGCTATCAAGAACTATTGATGCCACGTTTCTATCTATAGTCATGTCCCAATTTCTATGAGCTCTAAATGATTAAAGCTACGACACAAAAGCTTAGCAAATCCATACCGCCTTTTAATCGGCACTGAATGAACAATTCAATAGAACTAAAGCTACATCTAAATTCCCATAGTCTTGGAGAGCATATGAAAGGTATAGCAAACTTCAAATAGTGCATTTAATCCTAAATATCTTCATAAAATTAACTTCAAAAACAATCATTCCCTTCATCTCTTTGCCAATTGCCACTTCTTAATCCTGATCTGTATCATCCAATTAGTTATGCCACCAACTCAGTTTTCCACAAGATAACAGTGATTACAAGAATAATCTTTGATTAGCAGAATTGACATCAACTTTCTTCCTATTCTCCATCAGCAAAAAAAGGTTTCAGTTCACTCAACAGGTCAACAGTCAAAGTCTTACGTTTTCAACATAACTATCAAATCATGATACTCAGCAATCAAAATCAAAACTTCACAGTTTCTTTATTTTACCTTAGCAAATCCCTCAGCGGTTCCCGTCTGGGTGCCGTAAAAAATAGTAACTTTAGTTTTACCAGCAGCAATAACGGCTTCTTCATCTTCATCAACCTTGAGTGAAAGAGGCTTAGGGGCAACCAGCGGCTTGACATCACGGCTCCGTTCAGAAACCGATTTTTTCCATACAAAAAACAAGAGCCCCAGAATCACCGCCAACGACGTCGTTGCGATCACTATCATAGAATCCGTTACCGAACCCCCTAACGATACTCCCAATACCGATTCAACAAACCTCACCAAATCCGTGCTCGAACTCATCTTTAACCCCCAAAAAAAATGAATCCAAAAAAAAAATCAAGTAATTAAAAATGAAAAATCTAGTAAAAAAACCTAAAATATTTGGGGCGGGGATTGATCAGAGCTAAAGAGGGAGGAGTTGAAAGAGTGCTAGTTTTGGAATAGGGACCCCAAGAGAGAAACGCTTGACCAGAAAATTTAGAGCAGAAGAGAGAGAGAGAGGGGTCCATCCATGTTTTATTTATTTATTTTTTCTTACTTTTATAGATGCGCTTTTAATTGCAATTATGGGAAATACTTTCGCGGATGTTTTGTCCTTTCCGCTTTCCGCGTTCGAAACTCATTACGGCAATTGTTGACGGAGCCGGAAAAAGAACAAAAAACAAAACACTAGGAAAGGCTGTCTTTCTTGTTTTTTTTTTTTTTTTTTTTTTTGTATTCTTCCTTTTATTTTAATTTAATTTTATTTAATTTATATTTTTTCCCTCTTACAGTCCCCTGTCTGCCGCAGTGCTAAGGAATACACATAAATAAAAAGATGAAAATTGAAAAGTGATTGATTTTTTTTATTTTGTTACATATTAACATATTTTTAATTAATATTAATTAAGATAATAATAATAATATTTTAATATAAATAAAATATTAATAAATTTGATTATATTTATAATTTTTATTTAATTAATAATTTTTAAAATATTATTCATAATTATTTATTAAACTTAATAAATAAATATATTCATAAATTTTTTATTGAATATTTTATTTATTTATACTTTAAAATGTAAATGAATTAAATGCGATTAAATTTTATTATAATAGTGATATATTTATTTAATTAATTAATTTTTAGATATTATTAATAATTATTTATTAAAATTTAATAAATTAATATAAATGAAAAATCAAAGTTATTTTCATTGAATAATTTATATATATACGTGTATTTTTTTCTTTTTTTTTGGTGAGTAATGTGAATAATTTGGAGCAAATTAAATAGCGTGAACAGGGTAGTTGACGTAAGTTCAAAATATCAAATACAAAGAGTTTTGATGAAAGTTGTTGCCGAAAAAATTAGATTAAAGATGTAGTGTTTGGAACGTAAAGCTTTCGATTTAGACTTTTTTTATGATCTCTTTTTTTAATTATAAGTTTTCTAGCGAAGAAACACGTTATGTATCATTTTTCTCGTCTTAATTGTATAAATAGTAAGTACATTGTTACGTAAATTTGAAATTTATTTAATTCTTATCATTTCAATTAAATTTATTTATTATCAAATGAATTCAATTAATTTAATAACTAATTTAAAAATTTTGTAAGTTCAATTAATTTTTTATTTTTAATATATTTAATATATAAATAAATAATAAAATATAACATTTATTATTAATATTTACGATTTTATTTATTTTAAAACAAAATCAGTTCAAATAATTTAATTAAATTATGAATCAAATTTTAATAAAAAATTAAATTTATAAATTAAATTTTAAATTTCAAAATTTCAAATCAAATTAAATTTTAAATTTAATAATATATTAATTCGATTTAATTCAATTACGTTTTTAATAATCTCACCGCACTTTGCCTTGTTACCACAAATGTATCAATTAAAACAAAATCAAGATTGGGGATGGAGAATGATGGGGGGCGTTCCATTTTTTTCTTTTGCTTGATCTCATCCACTGCGCCATCGATAGCCATTAGAAGACGATAGCTTTTTTAATTTTTTTTTTTTTTTTCTTTTTGGTGATCGATGATGATATAAGGTTCGATGACGATCCCTTTCACTGGCCACGTGTCATCATTTCAATACTCCCCATTTAGCCACGTGTCTATTCCAAACCAACCTCAATCTATAGTACCAGATGATTACTATTTCTAATTTCGTCCTCGTGATTTTAGCAAAAGGACATTTACTCTCAATTAATTTGAGAAATATTCTCAAACTAAATATTTGATTAAATTTTCTGTTAAATACCAAAAATTTTGCGGTCGAAATATTAATCCATTAAATACTTAGGCTGCACAATGAAAAAATATGAATATAAATTTAAATTAACGAAGAACTTGATATTAAATAATGTGAAGTATATTTGATCATTTTAAATATTATATAAAAATAATATTATTTAAATTTTTGATAAAAATTATATATAAATTTAATATTTAATATTTTAATTCAACTTATAACATAATAAATTTTTATTTTATATGAATTTTACATCAAATTATAAAAATACATGAATTATTTAGATTTAATTTGAAATTGATACTTCTTTTGAGTAATGAGTAAATTATACTACGTCAAAATTCGATATTAACACAAACAAACAAATAATGGTGAGTCTGACTCGATCGTGAATAGATTTACTGTAAAACTATTTATTTTATTCCTTTTGTTAAAAATTTTAATTATGTTTTTAAAAAATAAAAAAATAATTAAAATGCACACGAAAATCATTTACATAGAAGACTATAATAAGGTGAATCGTAATACTTGTATTTCCCAAAAAGTATAATTAAAACAAACAAATTAATGGTTATCCTTAGGAAAGTTTATAATTCAATTTTAATTTAATTAAATTAATTTTATTAATTGATGGAATTATTTTTTATCAATTAACAAAAATAATTTTAAAAATATTTTGATTTTCAATTAATTTGATTCAAAAATTAAATTAACTTAATTAATTAAAATTTTAATAAAAAATATAGTAAAATATAAATATAAAACAAAAAATATATAAAATGAATCAATTTAGTTTATAAGTTATGAGAGTTTTTAATATGTTATTTCAATATTTAAATATTTTATTAAATAATTTTATTTAATTTATTTAAAATTTAAAAATTTAATTTAAAAATATTTATTATTTTATTAATTAAAAAATTAACTAAATTGATAAATTTAATTTAACCGATTAATTTTTAAAATAAATAAATAAATTAAATTAATAATAATAAAATAATATAAAAATTTAATTCAAAATTAATCGAACATCTTCGCCTTCGTCTCCGAAAAGAAGAAACAAGAAAAGAACTCTTTTATTGGCCGTAAGATTAACCCCTAATATGTATCGCTACGGCCTTGATCTCTCACCTCCATCAGCTCACGTGCACGCGAGTTTTCGAGAACTCTTAACTGAAACCCTTTCACTCACTCCCCTGCTAGTGCTGCCAAAGTTTCACTTTCTCGTCTCAATTTCTCACCCAAAAATATTTATTTCATTTTTTTTCAAAATTTTAATTAATCAAAAAACCTCAAGAATCCCAATAAGCCATGCCCACCAACGAAAACTTCTCAGGTATTTTTAAAAATTTTTTTACTTCCAGGAAATTCCTTTTAAAACAAACAACTATTTTTCCAAATAAATAAAATAAGCCATTGATTATGAAATGGGTTTTCTTTTGAATTAAATTTATTGTTTAGCAATTGAACGAGCTTGGATGAGCTTCTGTTTGTCGTCTTGGATATTAATTTGAGTAATTTTTATTGTGAAAGAACGTATTTTGTTGGGAAAAAAATCCAATTTTTATGGTTAAATATCAAGTGATTAATTGTTATGATGAATTACGAAGCTTTTGTTCCTGTTATTTGTGTAAATATCTTGAAATATCATGTTCATTTGATCCTGTGATTGTCTAGGATGCTTTTTCGAGCTCTACATTCTCGGTCCAATGTTGGAGTTGTGTTTTCTTTTGTCTGATTGTTTTAGGGGATTGCTCCTTATGATGTTTATAGAATTCTTGATTCCCCGTTTAAGTGGGACTGCAGCTTATTTTTGTTGCCATTTACTCCAATATTATTTCCAGGTGTTTCGAATTGCTATGTTTTCAAGAGCCGATTGCAGGAGTATGCGCAAAAAGTGGGTCTTCCTACACCTGTATATGAGACTATCAAGGAGGGTCCTTCCCATGAACCCTCTTTCAGATCAACAGTGATAGTAAATGATGTTAGATATGATTCCTTGCCTGGATTCTTTAATCGCAAGGCTGCGGAGCAGTCAGCTGCTGAAGTTGCTCTCATGGAGTTGTGCAAGTCTAGCGAAGTTAATGAAAGCATCTCTCAGCCTGTTGTGAGTTTCTTTATCTCTTTGTACCATGGTTTAGTTTATGAGATTCATTTTATGGTGGCATTTTCCTTTATTAGTTGCAGTTCACAACGAGAGGTTTGTAGCTTGTAATGATAAATTCTTTTACTTTGTTATTAAATTAACTGGTGTTGTTGTGATTAATACCATTTGTTTAGTTTTTTATTATTGACTTCTCATTTTAAATTTCATGGCTGAGCTTAATCTGTGGATGTCTGCTTCAGCATGAGACAGGCTTGTGCAAAAATCTACTACAGGAGTATGCACAGAAGATGAATTATGCAATTCCGGTATATCAATGTCAGAAGGGCGAAGCACCAGGTCGGGTGCCTCACTTTTCATGTACAGTTGAGATTGGAGGCATTAGGTATATTGGAGCTACAGCAAAAACAAAAAAAGAAGCAGAGATTAAAGCTGCCAGAACTGCTCTACTGGCTATCCAGTCAAGTATATCAGAACTATCTAATATGGGAGTTGGCAACTCTCAGCTAACAGTTATTCCTTGCAGAAAGAGGGCAATGGAGACAGCTAGTAATCCTGATGAGACTGTGAATGTTCCTAAGGCAAAGAAAGCCCGATTCAAGAAGAAAATGTTGAAAACAAAACTCTCTGGGAACAATGCTGATCATTCTCAAGACAAAACTACAGGCAATTTAGCTGTTGGTTTGGATGATCCGGTAAAATCAGAATGGATTCAAACTGATTCTTTTATCGTATTGAGTTCAGAAACTTTAGCTACAGATGTGATGAGGGATCTCATTGATACGAAGATAGAGAGTGGCTTGAGTGAGCAAATGCGTTCTGCAGATGCTGTATTGACTCCCAAGGTTGCTGATAATTGTGAAAATGGGCAATTAACAGCTGCGAATTCTATTTGTAGCAATCATGAGGCTCCGGATGTGGAAAATTCCTCCAAGGTTTATGATGATCTAACTGATTTGGTTAAATTGACTAATGGAGACGAGGTGGTTTCAATGGCTAATGATCCAACGCTGAGTCAGATGGAGGCTTCAAAAAGCATGCCTGGCTTAAACCAAGCACTAGAGAGTATCCATGCAAATTCGGGCCAAGCATAGGGCCTAGAAAAAGTAGATGCTGGCTTGATTGCTGGAATTTAGTTTTACAATTGGAGAAACGAGGAATGGTGGGAAGAGGGCAAACCGGGACTCATAATAGATTTCTTTGCAGACATCTTGAAAATTTTGCTCGAATTGGTAAACTAGAGTTGCTAGTATCTGCTTCAGTGTGTATGTTTTTGTTTCATTCTTTTATATAATTTATTGTAAATTGGGAAATTTGTGGCAGGGTCCCGATATGAGTGCTGTTGTAAGTTCAAATGTCTGCATTTGAACATTTTGTTGCTTACAATGTAGTATCTACTATCCTAATTTTTATGTGAAGATAGCTAACCCCTTTCTGAATCTCTCATTTGCTGTGGTTGATGCAAGCACTTTATAGTTTTCAGGGTGAATTCCAAAAACCCCCTTAAAATACATTGGAAATCCTCCTTTGTTTTTTTTTGGCTCTTAATCACTCATGCCACCATAGAAGGGCGTTGTCTGTTCCTTCATTGCTGCCACTTCTCTCATTTTCCCCATCATTGCTATTTCTCTTCTTCCTCATGGCTGAATTTGTAGATATTAATAAAAAGAAAAAATGTTTCTCTCTTTTTCTTTCACCTCAATTTGTGGATGTGAGTCCAAGGATATGATGTTTAAGGCGGAATTCTTTGTATATATGACAAGAGATCATGATGGAGAGCTTGAGAGAGGTTTGATTTCACTAACTTCAATTTTGATTTGATTGGAAGCAACATTAACATATATGTTCAGGTTAACTTTCTGGCTTCTTTTAAGCTACCGAAGGCAAATGCAATGAGGGAATGCTTCTGCTCCCTCAGATGATCGATTTAATACAAAAGTTGAATTGTTCGAGAGATCGTTGAAACATTTTTTTATATTAAGATGATTCAAACCCGGGACCATTGGTTAAGATCCAGACCAGAACCTTAGTTAGGATCATCCTCAAAATTGGTTAATTGCGGCATCATTTTGCAAATTGTCTGTTCTAACTCGTAATGATGATCTCCTGAATGGTTTCTCATTGAAAATTAAAACCCAGAACCAGAGTTGATACTTAAACAGGAACTGGGACAAACCTCAAACAGTACAAGCATTTATTTCTTATATTTGTAATAATTTTAACCAACTAAGCTACAGAACACAGAAAATTTTATAACAATAACGTCGAAAACAAGGAGCCAGGAAAAAAAAAAACAAAACAAAACAGAAAGGGACCCAACTATGAGCCCAATCGGTCAAGGGCGGCACGAGCGATTTTGGAGTTAGGCTCGACCTCAAGAGCCCTAGCGAAAGCCGCTTTAGCTTCCGCTTTCATCTTCTTCATTTCATAACACTCTCCCAACAGACAAAACGCCTTGACGTTATCCGCACTCAAATCTACAGCTTCGGTCAAATCGTCGATCGCTGAGTCGACGAGGCTGTCGGGCCGGTTCATGGTCATCTTCAACTCGGCTCGTTTAAACAGCGCGTCGCCTCGTTCTTTATCAGTCAACGACTTGGAAGCCAGAGGGGAGAGAGCGACGTTGAGGGAGTCAAGAGCGGAGGTCTTGAAGCCCTGTATGTCAAGGGCCAGGGCTTTAAGGATGTAAGCGGCAGCGTCTTTTGGGTCAAGAGAAATGGCTTTGTCAGCTTCGGATTCGGCTTGTTTGGCTAAAGAGGTGCTCGATGAACGAGACTTGGAGGATCTGGCCTGATCAAGGAGCTGGGCTCCGAGGACGAAATGGCGCTTAGCTTGGAAGTTGGCCCGGTCCCGGTAACGGATTCTCGTGAAGATCTTTTTGGGGATATCGTGCATAGCGAGGAACATGAAGATTGCAACGAGAATCATAGCGCCTTGTAAAAGAAGATCAGTCCACATCTTTGTCTTAAAACTTTAAAAAAATAGCGAAAAAAAAAAAAAAAACAAGATTTTGCGGGCGATGGAGATGGCGGCTCTGGTTCGTATTGACCAGGTTTTACAAGGAGCTCTTATGACTCCTGTGAGATTGGCCGTCAATTTGGTTAACTATGACTTCAACTGGCTCAAATTGGGCTTTGGGCTTAATTTTGAATAGCTATCCAACCATGTCCAAAGCCCATAGGATATAAATATATTTTTTATTATTTTTATTATTATATGAACTTGCAAAATAATTTACAATTGGTATTCTAATCTCTAATGAAATCTCTTTTTTTGTAGAGAGCATATTACTTCTAATTTTTTTTACTATAATGATATAATTATTCAATCAAAATAAAATTTATATAAGGGTCCATCACCTATAAATATATATTTCATATAAATTTTTGATAAATTTTATGTAATTTTAAATTATGATTGATTAATTATACTACAATTATTATAAGTGATATGCTTCTCCTTTTACACTACAAGCTAATCTCTTTATTCAAAGGCCAAAAGTAAAAAAAAAAAAAAGAAGCAATATAGCATATATATATTTATACATGCAATCACATTCATAATTTTCTTTTTACAAAAAAAATCATAATTTAAGAATAAAAAACGAGATTATAAGTGTCAACCCACCTTTCACATTTATATATAAGGATGGGGAGGGCTTATGTTTATAAATAATGATAATATTACTACTATTGTATTTCATTGTAAAAGTAATTGTCTTAGGATTACCTTTAGGAAAAAAAAAAGAGTAACCATTATATATATAATGAAACACTCATCTTCAAATGTAGAACCTTATTCAATTTACCTTAAAAAAATATAATATATATTAAAATATTATTTCGATAATAATATTTTTAAATTTCACAACTGATTTATTAATTAATTTTTTAGTAACTTATCAAATCATTGATTGGCCCAAATTAAAATTGGACTTGGAAATTAATTAGTAAGAGCCAAGCCCATTAACAACTACGGAAATCAAAGTACGGGCCAATGCCTAAAGGAGGGGCATATAACCGTAAATAAAACAAAAATGAGTGTTATTTTAATCTCACCCATTCCGCCCCTTCCTCAGCTGTCCTTCACTTCTGGCCTCTATCCTCTGCTCAGACAAAAAAAGAAACACACACTGCTCGGCTGTAACACTTTCTCTGTTTATTCAGATATATATAATATCCCTTCCTCTTTAACTCTCCCAAAAACGTAAAAAAAAAATAAAAATTTATCACCAATATTTTCTACTCCTTTTTTAACTAATTAGGGTTTTCCCTCTGTTTCACTGTAATGCTTCAATATCCCCAATTTCCTCAATGTACGGACAGTCATTGCCCATGAGCATCTCCGCCCAGATCGTTGGCTCCAGAGCCGACGTCGACGATGATGTTTCAGCCTCAGCAGCCGTCGATAACCACCAAAGCGTTAGATACGATGCTCACCCCCTTGATGACGGCGTCGGAGTGGAGGACGTCGCCACTGATCCCATCTACGTCACTGCCAACACTGCTTCTGCTTCTGACTTGGCCGTCGTTCAGCGAGTTGACGACGCTAGCCAACTCACTCTCTCGTTTCGCGGCCAGGTCTATGTATTCGATGCTATTACTCCTGATAAGGTATCTTTTTTTTTTTCCTTAAAACTTTTTTCAATTAAGCCAATTAGGGTTTACTGAAATTTTTTATTTTTGAAGAACCAAAATTGATGGCTTAAATTGGAGAGAGATATGACTTCATTTCCACTTATTTTAAGTTATCAAAGCAAAATGCAACTTCAAAATCATACTTTTCATTTTTTCCGTTTCTATATTTTCCCCAATGAAATGCACATTGTAAAGAGTTTCATTTTGAATCGAATTTTTGCAGTTCCATGCGGTGTTATTACTGCTGGGTGCATGTGAACTGACTTCAGGTCCCCATGGTGTTGAAATGTCATCTCAGAACCTAAGGGTATTTCTCTTAAATTTGTTGAAATTTGAAATTATTTTAGTCTTTTTTTTTTTTTTTTGGTTTCTAATTTAGCTTTTTCTTCCTGCTTAGGGTGGTGTGGACTTTCCGAGATCTAATCAACCGCTCAGGGCAGCATCTTTAGATAGGTTTCGTCAGAAGAGAAAAGAGCGATGCTTTGATAAGAAAGTCAGATATAGTGTTCGCCAGGAAGTTGCACTTAGGTGTGCATTTTCCTTGGTAGTTAGTTTAGCTGGCTGTGCTTGTAAAAGTTTTCATCAAATTTTGAACTAGGAAAGTTGTTTTTATTGATCTTGCAATTGATACTAACAACTTAGCCCGGGAACTAGTATAGTAACAATGGTCCTTTTGAGGTTTGAGTAAATACTGAGCATTAAGACTTTAAGGAGGGTATGTTTTATACTATGAGAGATATGGTGGGAGTACCTGATAGCCAAAGTAAATGATTTTTATCATAACTTTTGTATTTATGTTGCTCCCTTTCATATGCTATTGAACATGATCATTGCATACATGATTAATGTTAGATTAGTTCACTGTTATTCTGCATGCTATACATTCATGTTATAATACGAGGATCGTTATGGAGCGTATACTGTGCATTCAGCCTTGGGAGACAATAAAAATAGATTTATCATCCAATTCTAAAGGGTGATAAATAATCATTGTTGCATACTCATTTAGCCCAGATAGATAAGCTTTTATTAAAGTTGTCTTCTCTGTTGAGGAATCTTGTTAATGTGATATTGCAATGTCCTCCAGTCTTCTACAGGCTTAATCTACCATAAAATTGCTAGCAAAACTCTAAGGATCAAGGAAATAAAATTAGTGTTGATAGATTAACAAATCAGGTGTTACAAGGAAATATTTCTTAGAACATCAGACTGTATAAGAAAGATACCTTTTTTATCCTTTTAGGGAAGTTCACATATCTGTTAATGATTAAGTAACAGCATAATTTAGAATATATATATATATATATATATATATATATAATTGCATTCATGGAAACTGAATTCTTAATATCTAAGGGTGTGTTATTTAACTGAAAAGGAATCTAGAAAACTCGTCAAGTACTGTCTATCCTTATTGACAATTTTTATTTGTTCCATATCTGGTAAGTTTATGTTTCTGATATCTATGAGTGCATCAGGATGCAGCGTAATAAGGGTCAGTTTACATCTTCCAAAAAGTCCGATGGAACTTACAGCTGGGGTACTCAGGATGATGATAATCTACCAGATACTTTGTGAGTTTTATACCATCTCCCAGAGTGTTATTCTTTGCATTTTCTTTCTCTCAAGATCTGGCCGGTGTGTTTTCTCTTTTACCTTCACATGCACTGCACTATATTTCTCATCTCTTTTATAAGGTATTCTATTTTACTAACATCATTTTTAAAATTTCCTGGTGAAATCTCAATATAAGTTATAATAATTGGAGATATCATGTAATGTCATTTTCTCACTTTTCCAGATGTACGCACTGTGGTGTTAGTTCAAAGTCCACCCCGATGATGCGGCGTGGTCCATCTGGTCCAAGGTCTCTATGCAATGCTTGTGGACTTTTTTGGGCAAACAAGGTTGGTGTCTTTGCTGTGATTGATAGTTCACAGTCCTTCACTTTGTCCACGTCTCACTTTTACAATGGAGAAAATTTGCTGCCCCATGATTACTACACTTGCCATCATAGTTTTGTTCATACATTGGGTAGTTTTACATGTATTTGTCACTTTTAACCTCCTTGAAGATTTTTTCAATTGGGATTGATTGCAATTAATATTCCAATTAAAAGGATTAAGTGCAATCTCACTCTATAAAGCTATTGTCAAGGAATATAGGTTTAATTTGTGTACTTATTTGTTCTCAATTAATTTTCACCCAGGAATATATCCCAATTTTATATCCCAAATGCTAAGTCCTATTCCCTGCTTTCTACCTTGATATAGTGTTTAACTTAAGATCCTGTCTCTACAACCTATCTCAATTGTCGTACTCTTTAAGATACCTCTTGCATCTAATATGTGGTCTCTAATTTTCTCATTTACATGCAAAAACACATGCACAGACTGATGGGGATGGGGAACACAGTTCCTGTCCCTGCCCTGCCCATTTAACATTATGCAATTATATAGTATGTAATATTTGTCTCTTTTGTGTACATAGAAGATTGTGATTTTAGTTACATCGTGAATTACTGGGATTTTTCTTCTTCTATAAGTCTCCGCGTTCTCATTTTTCCTGACAACCTTCCTCCTTTTTTCTCTCTCTGCACAGACATGCACACAAAAATTTCACCATCAAGAAAAGTATTTTGCTCTTATCCATTTTTAGGGATGTGACTGGGATAAGAACTCTTCTCACTGTCTGGGGTGGGGTAAGCATTACCGCTGATTCATAGATGGGAATTAAGATGGTCTGCCAATGTGGTGGGGCAGGAAATGCATTCTCTCCCACTTAACCCTCCCCATTACCTCTCCAGTATTGATTCTTGCCTTTTGTTTTATCCAATGTCTCTTTATGGGCATTTATTTTTAAATTTGCTTTTAGTTTTATATGTGTATCACCTCTGCTGAACATTCAGCGTGCTATATCTTTTGAGTTTTTAACAAATGAACTTCATGTAGGGTACTTTGAGGGATATTCCCAAGAAAACACGGGATCATTCCCTGACTCCAGTTGAGCAGGTATGTTTCTTAACATATAAACTTGTTATTAGGCTTCTTGACCTGCTGTTCTAATTTACCCCCTTATACTTCTGTAACCTAAATGTGGCTTTGGATTTTCCTATAATATAGGGAGATAGTGAGGCAAACTCAGATTCTGGAACTGCTATCCATTCGCAAAGCAATGTAGTTTCTTTCTCAAATGGTGATAGCTCAGCTCTAATTGCCGAGCACTAATCATCTGTGCCATATAAAAGCCTTTGTCAGCTAGGTCTTTATTAATAATTTCTTTCAAACTTGACCTATATGTACAGATATCATAGTTGCCATCATCAATATACAAGGTTTTCTCCTCCTATTCCTTCAGTTAGTACTTTTGCATGAAATTACCTCTTTAAGAGAAACCTCCTCAGGATTTATCACCTGAAGCATCAACTATCTTACCTTTGGTAAGTTTATAGGCCATATGCTTCCAATATCTTATCCCCTCCCAGGAATCTTTTATATTTCAATCAAATGCGTGTTAGTTAATGTAAATGATGGATAATCTTTTTTTTATAACATTAGTTGGAGTTAATATTTCATTCCCTTTTTGTCAAATCCTTGTTCTGACCATCCAAACTGACAATCAACTATGGAATGTCTTGATGTGAAGAATGATGTAGCAGCAGCAGCAGTAGTAGTTCTCTGTTGTTCTTTATTTTATTTTAATTTCCTATGATTTGATTATTCGTTGACTGGACCTGCGCTGACCTCCAGTAGCCTAGTGTCCTTGTCTTGACATTCTTGCGCTGCTTCCTTCCCGGTCCTCCATTGGTTGACTTGTTGAGGTAGCGTTTGGAAGTCCTGTCAATTTGATTCGCGTTTGTCCCATCCTAGGTACGCCGGATTAGGATCTACTGTCACCCCAAATGGCGAACGAATTCTTTTTCTAAATTCTAAAGCAGCTCCATTGGGTTTGGTAGGATCTCCAAAAGCTGGAAAAGTTTTTTACCAATTTAGTAACAACTTGAAAGAAATACCATCTCAAATAATAATAAAAAAAAAGGCTCAACTATTGAAAATTAGATGGTGGTTAAAACCTTTTCATATTTTCTTGTGTGTTTTTCTTTCTAACTTAATTTTCATGAGAAAATTTTAAATGAAGTTTCTGAAAATTTTTAATATAAATAATTTAATTAAAAATTTTAATAATAATTCAAACATAGAGATTGATATAATTCAATGAAAATACCAATACTATATAAAAAAATTTATTAAAAATATTGTTTATAATCTAAATTTTGATCAATATTTATTCAATAGTAAAAATTTTATTAAAATTTTTATAAAAATAATTATTTAAAAAATATATTAAAATATTTAATTTTATACATTTAATTTATGTAATAAAAATTTTAATTTATTGATATTGATTTTTTAATTATTTTCATATAAAATTTTACAAATTTTTCTAAAAAATTTTATCTAAATAATTCTCTAATTTTTATATGATAATGATGCCTATCATAAATTATTTTACTTATTGGTGATAATAATAGTTATCTTCATTCAACCATTAAAAGAAAGGAAGATTACATTTCAAAACTTTGAAGAATTCAACTTTTTCGTAATGACTATTGGGAGCAATGTTTCTTCACATTTCGTGCTTTTAATCTTCCTACAATCATAGTTTAGATTTTAATGTACTATAAAAATAAAAATAAAAATATTGCTGATTAATATCAATAAAAAAAAAACTTAAAACAATATTTTATTATTATTATCTCTAATTGGTTACGTCATCACCTTATCGCATTAGTACAAAATTTCAGTCCCTCTTATTGCAAATAATGGTTACAGTTACTCTTACTTTTTCAAAAAAGAAACTCGCACCCACATTATTATCTCCATTATTATTATAATAATCCGCGCCGCACGCCTGCTGTCAATTCAATCCAGCCGTTGGATTCCCAAATCGCTGCCTCCATCGTTGGGCCCCACCTTTTCCAAAGTTTTCCCATCATTCATCAATGCCAACCACAAGTGATCCATCAACTCCATTGGACCCCACTTTACCCCACATATCCTAAAACCTATTCTATTGCGAAACACCCTATCATAGTTCCATTTTGTTTACAAATTTTTTATATATAAAAATAGTAATTATCGACAAGGCTACATATTCTTTTTCGATCAAAAAATTAAAAAAAAAAAAAGAATTTCCAATTTGAGTCTCTCCAAGGAAACACGAGTTCACGCCCCTGCAAATCCTAGTTATATCTAGGGTAGTTTTCAACCTTTTACTTTTTCCTTTTTTTTATAATCTTTTCTTTCAATTTTTTTCTTCCACATTCGATGCTTCTTCTTGTTGTTCAAGCTGACAAAGGCTCTATCTAGGGCTAGGGTTTAGAATATAAAAATATTGATTGCTAAAAAAAAAAAAAGAAAATAAAAATATTGATGAAAAATTGTAAAAGAGATATTTGAGTAAACAATAACCGGACAGAAGTAATGGATCTTCAATGAACAGGTTGATAATTGCAAGCTCGGGGCTTTGGTTTTCGGTACAGTTGGAACGGTGCGGCCTTTGGTTGTCACTTTCGTTGTTTATATATGGCGGCTGTCAATCCACAGCCACTGCAGGCGCGTCCGTTTGAGGAGTACGCGGGAGGGACGATACAGATCGAGGACGACGATGGAGACTACGAAGATGACGCCATGGATGACGTGGAGGACCGAAATGTCAAATTCTTGAATGTGGCGGAGCATGGAATAGGAGTATTAGGCGGCGCAGCTGGTGGAGGCGTTTTCATGGCGTCGAGAACTAGCGAACTTAGTCTCTCTTTTGAAGGAGAAGTTTACGTGTTCCCTGCGGTTACACCTGAAAAGGTTTTTATTTTCTTTCAAATAAAAAATCTATCTTTATTAGTATTATTTTGACCTTTGTTTGATTTTGGTAATAAAATTTTTTTTCCCTGCTATTCTATTTGTTTTTGCAAAGTAAATTTGAATTTAGGACTCTTGGATTTTTATTTCCTTTTTTTCCCTTTTTATCTTCTTATTTTGAGAATGATACCAAGTTAGCTGGGGGAGTAATAAAGTGCCTTGTGTTCTAAAAATGCTTGGATAAGGAGTTTAATATGCAGAGGCCGAATTCATTTCTTAGGATATATATGGTAGGAGGATTTAAGTACTGTTTCTTTTTTTTTTTTTTTAAGTTGGTTAAAGTAATTTTATTGAACAGTTATAGACTGAACAAGGGGAGCAAAACAACTGTATCTTTGCTGATCATCACTTCTGATAGCTTTTGATATGCAATGATTCGATGCTTTGCTATCCTGCTTTAGCTTGAAGTTGTGTTTTGATAATTAACGGGAAAGTTGGACTTGGGTTAAAGTCTCCAAATCTGATTGGCTAATTCTGTATTCCTTGTTCAATCTATATCCTTCATTAGTGAAGTTACTGACCATTTACTATTTTACTATAGTTAGTCTTTGATGGATTTTGTGCATTAGAGTTTAAACTGCATTCTTTTCTTTTCGAGGAAGTGTTTTTCTTTGTTGTAGACATTCTTCTTCTTCATCGGTCAAGTAATAAGTAATTAATTTTACTATTCTATACTTCAAAAGAATTTACTGGTTTAGAGTTTCTTCCCTTTTTTCTCTCAAGTACACATGTTTGTTGGATTATATACAACAGGTGCAAGCTGTGCTGCTACTTCTTGGGGGTCGTGATATCCCTACTGGTGTTCCAACAGTTGAAGTAACTTTTGATCAAAAGAATAGGGTATTGCTCTTGTTAAAATAATTATGATTAATTGTGTTCCATTATTCGTGTATTATATTTTGTTTCATATACCATATTGGGCAGGGTGTAGGTGATGTTCCAAAGCGCTCAAATCTTTCAAGACGAATAGAATCCTTGGTTAGGTTCCGTGAGAAAAGGAAAGAGAGATGCTTTGACAAGAAAATTAGGTATACTGTACGGAAAGAAGTTGCTCAGAGGTATGAATTTTTCGTACTTATTTTGTTTATATCTATAATTAGTGTTTGAAGTTTTAACATTTTGAGCTTATGAAACGGGCTGGATTGAAGTGTTCCTTTGATGCAGAAGTTAAAAGTGGAAATGAGGAAAGAGTTATCAATTATTCAAAAATTTTGGGAGCAGTGTAAAGGTTATATGCATTTATTATAGGTTGCCATTGTTGGACGTGTGTTCAGATTAGTTGGTCTTGTTTAAGTTTGAATGTAAGAAGTTTCCACCTGCTTATGGTTCTCTCTCGTGAAAGAGGCAGTTATAAGGAAGTGCTGGGACTTTGATGTGCATTGTTTAATTGGCTATTTCAATTTTACAATTTTATGCGCTGATTGTTTTCTGAGACTAATAGAATAGTGAGTTGAGATGAGTTGGTGAAAGTAGCCATGCATATTAGTAGTAAATGTATTACTTTATACAAACCACCCCCCCCCCCCCCCCCCAACACACACACACACAAGTGGTAGTGGTGCATTGCATAATGGTTTTAATCTTCTTCTCCTTTTATCCTTGTAGGATGAATCGTAAAAATGGGCAGTTTGCTTCTTTAAAGGAAAGTACTAGTACTTCAAACTGGGATTCTTCACAAACTGGCCTTCAAGATAGTACTCGTTGTGCAGAAACTGTGTGAGTTCCAAGCATGTATGTTGCCAGGTCATTTTGACATATTTGTCATGATGAACCTTTTGATGAATTCTATGTTCAATGTGTTTCAGTGTTCGGAGATGTCAACATTGTGGTGTTAGTGAAAAATATACTCCAGCAATGCGTCGTGGCCCAGCTGGTCCAAGGACTTTATGTAATGCTTGTGGGCTTATGTGGGCAAATAAGGTTTGTTTAATTTAGTTCTGAATGATGCTTTCCTTAAGGATGCTTGATTTTGTTAATTTTGTGGCTTACCACTTCTATTTAACAGTTGATACTGCATGCTTTTTCCCATAGTATTCTTGATTAAGCATCATCTTCTGTAGATATCGCTAAGAATGGTATTTGGAATGTTGCTGATATTGGTGATGATTTTCTTCTATCCTTTTTTTATTTTGATTTATCATTTTCCGTAACTGTTTTGTTGAATGTACAGGGAACGCTGAGAGATCTCAGTAAAGGAGGAAGGAATATTTTCTTGGACCAAACTGAACCTGTAAGTGTCACAGGAATATTTCCAACTTTACAAATAATTTATTTCTACTACTTGCTACTTTGGTCAAGGTTGGTTAAATGAATTGTATAAATGATAAAACAGGAAACACCAAATGATGTCAAGCCTTCAATTATGGAAGGGGACTTCTCTGGTAACGGGGATGAACATGTACATGCATACTCTTCTCATGTATTATGATCAAGCTTTTTGAGTTGGTCACTTGTTTCTTTCTTCTAACATGATATGAAGTTTATGCAGGGAAATCCTTTGCAGGATGTGGCAGATGGATCCAATAATGCTTCTGTCAACCCAGATGTAGAAGTATGTTTTCAGATCCTAGCTTATCTTGAATTTAATCTCTTTTTTTTTTTTGAAAATTTTACACCAGTAAAGAAAATTGTGTCATGTACTGCATCTCTTTCTTAGGTGGACTTAAAAGGGAATTATTTCAACAATGCATGCTTTATCGTAGCGTCTGGTATCATTTTTAAGATCACCGCAGTAATCTAATTACCATAGTAATAAGATCATCAAGGTGATTTGATCATTAGTAATGTTAGATTATCATGTTTGGTACAATATTATAAATTACTAGTGCTTTTAAATCACTTTGTTTGGTATTATATGAAAAAATAAATCATATTGTACAAAACATCCAAAATAACATTGCAAAAAAAAGTAAAATATTTAATATTTATTGAAACAATAATTTGTAAAATAGTTAAATGTTATTTTATAGAAAACTATAAAGTATAAATCAATTTTGATAAAAATAATTTCTACAAAAATTATTAAATAAATTCATTATTTTTTCTAATATAAATTTATAACATAAAAACTTTTCAAAATAAGTGATTAAAAAATTGGTTTTTTAAAATATTTAATAGCCAACTTCTTGAGGTAATATTAACTATATTTTTTGTGAGGTTAAATTAGTCAGAAAATAAAATTGAAAATTGCTTTCCCATTATGATAAAACTTTTCCATCCTTTAGGTTGAGAATGAGATTACTCCCCAAGGCAATGATCTTAAGATTACTGTTATATAAAATTTTTAAATTACTACCAAATAAGGTGATGCAATTACTGAATGCAAATCACCGTGATTTTTAAACAGAACACCTCATACGAAGCACTCTCTAGGAAAATAGACTTCTATTTATACTAATCAATCTGTAACATAGTGCCAGAAAACTCAATACTCTAATAAACATGTTATTGTGATCTATAACTTTTGATGGTTGGTATACTTCTTCATTCATAGTGGATACTTTACCATAATTATTGACATGAAAGTCAAATTTTATCTGCCACCTCTTTTATGGATTGATGTTATGTATTTGATTCTTTCTTGTATTTGATTGGGGCCATCCCTATTGAGTAGGAATTTTTTGGGCATAGGTTCTGAGAAGAGACAAGTTCTTAAATCTTATATTTTGTGTTTTAGGTGGGTATTTATTTACATATTGAAGCAACTGACCAAGATTCAGGAGAACAATCCTCAGAATTGAAATAAATTATTGAACCGGTCTAATAGGTAATATATTCTCTTTCTTGGTAACTTGCATTTCTACATGGTGCAGGATTTGCATGGAAGTTCAGAAGATCTTACAAACTCTTTGCCTATGGGAATTGTCCATCCCTCTGCAGATGATGATGAGCAGGTATAACATTATGGTTATTTAGGGAGGTCTATAAATTAGTATTCACTGTCTCATCATCTTTCTGTTCAGAGAAATAAATTTTTTTGAAATTAAAAAAGTTTTGTTTTTCCCTAATATAATTCCTACAGCACATGTTCTTGTTTAGACATGTTTCTACCTTCTTGTAGGTCTAATCAGAAATTGGGACATTTTGTTTTCTAGTTAACCTTCAAATAAAACTTTTGGATTAAACCGGGATGCATGATCACATTCACATCTTCTCTTCAAGTAATTCCAGAAGGGGATTTTACTAAATCAATGTTTTTCAGACTGATATAAGGCAATATCTCATAATATAGTTTTGCAATATGCAGGAACCTCTGGTTGAGCTTGCTAATCCTTCAGATACGGAAATCGACATTCCTTCTAGTTTTGATTAGAAGGTTACAATTGGCTTTGCTCCAATAATATAAGGAGATGTGGGTATTAGACACACTTTACGCAGTTAGTTTCTCTCATTTCTCCGTGCTTTGTATAGGTCAAAGTTTATGATGTTTATATGGAGGCAAACAAAACGGATTGTGAATTGCCATAATTAGGAAACCGGCTTGACATTGAATCTTAAGTACAGTAATCAGCTAGTGGCTAGGAAAGACATGCTGCTGCTTTCAGGCTGACATTAGATACTCTGAAGGTTCTTCTTGTTGATATAAGTAGTGGAGTGAATCTGTGTACAATTTGTTAGGAAAAACTGCCTGAATGCTTTTAACCGTTTATATTATATGATTTATTTTTTTATGACTTAAAAGATTATTTAATGCGATGCTTAGTTTTGCTTGGCTACCAACAGTTACATGATCTGTTGATAAAATATTAAATTTTTAATTTAAGTGATCACAGTTAAAATGCTGACTATTTCAAATTAAAAAAAAAAATTCTGCTCGGCTGAGGCTTTGTACTTTGTGATATCTTGACCTTAAGTAGGGAATTTGCGTAAGCAAGAAAATGAAAAGGGTGGTCACAATGTTGTCACAAGCGTTTGTGTCAACCTTTTTCACAAAAAAAGGTCATAGTTTTGGGAATAGGAGGAGGCGGTCACAATGCTGTCGCAAGCGTTTATGTTATTCTTTTTTACAAAAGAGGTAATAATTTGAGAATATGAGAAGTTGATATTTGAATGGATTTTAGATTTGTTGAATATTTACTTTTTAAGAATAATTATATGAATTAATTGAATTAATTTTTATAGTCAAGTTATGCCATCTTTAGATAGTTTGAATTGTGATTTTTGGCATTGAATTGTGATTTTTGGCACCCAAATGATGGGAATGGAGATTTTTGCTAATCAGAATATCAAGTCTACCTGAATTACAAGCAGTTTCTAGCTTGGTAGGAAAATATGTTAATAAAGGCCATTGTCTAGTTAAGAAAATGAGTTTTTCTTTTTCTCCCTTTTCTGGAAAAGAGTTCTCAATAAAAGAGTCATGTGGACATCATGAAAATGGGAACTCCAATAGGTTACAATTTGTTTATAGAAATCCTGTTTAGTCTTACCCAGTTTGCCCGCTGCGGAGGAAACTAGTTAGAACTGCCAAATTAGTATCGTCAAACGTTCAAGATTTAAAAAAAAAAGAAAAAAAAGAAGAAAAGAGTAACAGACTGGTGATTCAGGGAAGCATTAAATGATCCAACTCAAAGTCGATTGTTCGAATGTGCATAAGTCGTGCCAATGCAAAACCTTGACAATGTTTTTGATTGATACAACAGATTAATCCCTATTAGTACATGGAACAGACATGATTAATTACTAGAAAAAAAATGCATGTTTATGATTTAGAAATATAGAAAGTGGGAAATGTAAGTTGGACATGAATTGTTGCTATGCAAGAAGGGCGATTAATTGGAATAAATAAGGTGATTCAAATAGCATCTTTACACCACAAAAAGGTAAATGGCAAGACCAACTTTAGTCAGACACAAGATCCGATCCAACGCCTAGGATTATTTAATGTTAAAAGCGTATCCCAGAGAGAAAGGAAATTTCACATTTATTTCTTACAAAATCATAGTGCTTGGTGGCTGGTATAATCTATATATTTTAACCCAACCCACAAAATTGACAGATTTGAACTGCTTGAAGCACTTCTCTTGAGCGGAGTCACAGAGCCCAGGCATTCAAAAGATCAATCATCATAGAAGGCATCATCAACCAATACATCCATAGTCAATAACCAAGCAGGCATACCTTCATATTTTTCATGCTTGAGAGCTGCAATCAGCTTTTATTTGAAGATCAGCAACATTCGAGTCTGTCTACATGCAAGGTTGCAGTTCAGTCAAAATGCAGTTACAGTCACGTAGCAACTTTTCAATTGGCCATATTTGCAGATTGCATACTGTTTGCTCCACTCAAGTCCTTCAAACAATACCCTTCTGTTGATGAGATATGGATTTATTCATGAAAATCCTCATAGGGTGAGGATTCACTGGAAGAGTCGGTTTCAAATGGAGTAGGCTCCATAGGATCCATCGGAGACGATGGAAGTGAGTCTCTCTGCTGAGAAGATGAACCTGAACCAGAACAAGTCAGTTTAAACTTCACCCCTCGATGCCTGGTAGGGAAAACCTCAAGAATTACACAAACTAAAATGAGGAATACCTTCTCGCTATCATTTTCTGTAAAAACATGTAAAAAAGGTGAGAATACATTAAAAAGGAAGGAAACCCATGCATACCTTTCTGTCCCCTTGATTGGAACTTCTTTGTGTGCCGCCTAATAAGTTTCTTAGCTTGGGTTATGGTCAGCTGCCTGGCGAATGGAGAGAACTCAGCTTCACCTTCACTCCACTCTCCATGGAAATCATCTGCTTCACCTCTCATGGTTCGGAGCACAAATTGTTTGGCTTTGCGCCTTTGAGTGTTGAAGAGGCCTCTAATGGAAGTAACAAATCCATCACCAGCTCCATCACCTGGACGCTTAAGTAAGGTTATTTGATCAGGTTTCTCAACCTGATCAACGTCGCAGAGATTGAGGTAACTATCAGCAACAGCAGTTCCACTTGGCTGTTGACTATGTGCCTTGTCTTTGAATTTCTTAACCTACCAAATACCAAATAATTAAAAGGACAGTCAGCAGATCTGCATTCCAACCTTTATGGTTTAACAAATAAATTGAGCTTCTCCGTACTTGCAAATACACTTAAGAATTACAAATTCTAATTACTAGCATTTATCGCCATCCTGAGTTATTGCAATTATTATCTTAGTTCATTGCAAGATGAAGCATTAGAAATCTCCAAGTCATAATCCAACCAATAGGAGGGAACACTGAGTCTGAGACCAGTGACCTTAAAGTTCGAGAAGATTTGCAGGTAGGTTCGCTGGAAAGATTCAGATCAGGGAGATTTGCAAGTAGGTTCACTGGAGTATTATTAAGATTCCTTACCTGCATTCCAGTTACAGACTTTAGGACACCCCATATAATATGCTTCTTAACACGAGAGAACAGTCTCCTCCAAGTCCCAGTGAACTCAACACGGTGAAATGTATCCATCAGCAACTTGAGATCATTTACAACAAATCTGGACCCTTCGTATGTAACTTGTAGCTCAACCTAATGCAGAACAACAGAAATATATGACAATAGAAACCAAATAATGGCAAAAAAAAAAAAGAAACAAGAGATCATAATTAAAATTAATGAAGCAACCTGACTTATCTTGATATTGTGAAATTCTGTCATTTTCCGAGGCCTAGATTTTTTCTCTTCATTGGATTTTCCAACCTTCTCTTCCTGAGACGATCGACCATACTTAACAAATTTTGTGTCTTTCATTTTATTTTTAGAGGATTCATCTTGTTGCTCAACGGGAACAAGTGACCCACTTTTCGTGGAAGAAATGCCGGAGGAGTGAGCATGTAGAACAAGTTCATTAGCCACAGATTCAGCGACAGTCTCTTCCCATGTTCTGTCAAAAGAAGATGTTCTCCTCAACTCAGGGCCAGAACCAGAAACAACATTTGATTTTAGGTCTTGCAACTTTGATGCCTGCATGTGGGTTCCAAAAAGAGTTTATGGAAATTACAGCATAGAAATATGAAGATTCAAAGCCTATATAGGAATCTAGTGACTTAAATAAATCAATAAGTTTCCACAATACTACTAGGTAGGGAAACATAAGGATGCTCACTTGGGGAGAATCAGCAGGAACAGGCTGAATGGTAATGGACGTACAAGACACACTTGGTTTGGATGATACCTCAGACTCCTTTGTTGAGTGGCTCCCTGATGCAGATGCATCATGGTTTGAGGAACCCTTCTTTACACGTCTTGCACCGGCTGTTGTGGAGACCTTCCAAACTTCCTGCATCTCCAAAGTTCCAAGCATATGAACACTCACCAATTGCACTACAAATTTGCTAGCAGATTCAAATATCTGAAGCCCAGAACTAACCTGTCGTCTTTGTGAATCTTGTTCTTCTTCTGGGAAGAGATACGCCCACATCATTCTATACATTGTCTCAGTCAAATGAATCTTAAGGGGATATATCTCTACCTATACAGCACAAAAGAAATAGCTTGTCTAATACTTTAATAGTAGTTCTTCATCAAAGTAAAAAATGCTTTAAGATTTAATACAAAAATAGGACAAAATGTGCTTATTTGTAATACAAATTGCTTGCGAGTCTACATGTGATAGAACAAAAGTAATATCTCAACTGTACGCTAAACACTAAGGACTTAATCATATGTACCAGAAAAGCTCTCCCACTACCAAAACAGGCCAAACCTAAAGCCATGATGCCACTATGCTCTAGCATTCGCTGCAATAGACAACTATGTACAAGACCCTAGCTGCTCAATAATTAAACACTCTCCCAAACTCAGTTCAAATACATGCTTAAGGAATCAAGGGTGGCCAAAAGCATGATCACCAAGATACCTCTCTTCTCTGTCTACTTTGCATCTTGTTTCCTCTTTTCAATCTTATTTCTCCATGATTGCTGACAATTTTTTATGCTTAAAAAAGTATGTTCATGTTGATGCATCAATTCCAGATGTCATCTTATATCCTGCATGCACTTATTTTGATCATATTCACAGTGCCAATCTAGTCTAGCGATAGTTGCTCACACTGCTTTGACAAACTTTTCACTCACCTTTTAGTTCCATTATTCGTCATCTAATCTGTAAGACCAACTATTTGGAGAGATAAGATTGACAAAGTATGACATTTGAAATAACAATCTATCTATAGCATAGTAGTTACCATATCTTCTCCACAGAGATTCTACGTGAATCTATGGTAAATAGACATCTGGATGCACATAAACAATGTAATCAAAGTTCAAATGAGGAAGTGGATCCGGCTAGAACAAACATATGAAGCACGTCATTGTTTAAATCAAGTTACAATCAGTGAACTCACATGCAGGACTGAGAGCTATATCAAAGCTAATAATAGTTTCATATGCTGTGTAGTAAAGTCATTGTATATTCTAAAAATACTCACACAAACAGTGATTTCGAAAGGAAAAGAAAAAAAAAGTGAATTTTACCTGAAAAAGCTCCAGAGTAGAGTTCCCATCCTTTGGAGCTCCCTGCTTTGCATCTACGTGGAGCATGACTTTTCTGCAACAAGGAAAGTTGATATTGGGATTTTCTAAAGAATTATTACAAGCTGAGGTTTCTAATCCAAAGTCTTCAGACAGATATTTCAAAAGGAAAATATACTAGACAAAATAATCCCTGCTCCCTCTCACAACCACATGAATAACTACAAGTTTTGGCATTAACTTCTGTAAGCTAGTTTATAAATAATTTTTTTCTTTAAAAAATGATCATGTTCACAAAAGGATAAAGCAAGTTCCAGATAGCAGAAAGGTTTCATAAACATTGCTGGCAAAAACTGTGGACCACAGGATAGAAGTAAATATATGAATAGGTTTTTTTTGGCACAGGAGGACCAAATTGGGGCATTTAAGCATGGGAATTGAGGAGTTTGAGATGAGGTGTGCTGTCAATATAACTATAAAACCTAAACAAAAGGAAAAAAAAATTAAATACTCATAAAAGTAAGTCACAACTAATTATAATCAGAAAAACATGTAAAGACATGACAAAGCAACAGAGGTGAGGAAAAAGCATGTACTTTCCCCATTCTGGAGGAGGATTCCATGCTGATAAAAGCGTATCAGACTTGGCATTAGGTAGGCAGTTTCTCACTTCAAAACACTTAATTGTAAACTGAGCAACACCAACATCTTTGTAATCGCGGTCAAAATCATAAATCTGCATGAACAGGAGTATAAACTGTAAGATACCATCCTCAAAAGCAAACATTATTTAAGTGCAATTTCTTATGGAATTTAAACCTCAACTCAACCATAATTCAATAAAGAAATAACCAAGAAGCTAAAATTTCAATTAAAACAAAGAAATGGAAAGAAAAACCAATATCAACCCCAATGTAGTCGAAGGTGCTAGGTACAAAAATAGTACATGCCAATGAGAAGCAAGGCACTAATTTCTAAAATGACAAATCAATAAAAAAAAAAATAATATTAATATGTTAAATAAACTTAAATATTTAGCTTTGTTAATACAAGTTAAAAGCTAATCCAATCATTTTCCAATGTATTCTAAATATAGGCACAATCAGACCTAACTAAAAGTCCTCATCAAACTAGAGCTCTAAGTTTCCTTCACATCCATCTTCAACAAGATATAAATGGATATTTTCATCCTTTTCTAATTCCAGTAAAAGATACATGTATTATCTCACTGATCAAATAAAATTACAGCTAACAAAAGAATGCAAATCGAAAAGAAGAGGGTGATTTTCTAAGTAGTGCCTTATGCCTTTAAAGATCTCCACCTCGGCACAAAAAAGCAAATACCATAGTTCAAATAAAATAAATTGTATTTTTGTTTGTTTTATCAATTCTTACTTGATTTGTTTCATTATTTAAATGAGTTTCTCAATAACCTTTTTTTTTTTGTTGATTCAAGAAAAAAGTTGTATATTGGTTCCTTGAATATTGATGATATATAGAAAATATCTAAGCATACCTTTTCAATGAAAAATTTTATAACAAAATATAATTTATGGATTAATCAAATATTTCTTCTTTTTTATAGTTGCCAAAATTTTTTTGATGATTCCAATATTTTATCCTGATAACTTATTTTGTATATTTATTTCTTGAGTAAAGGCACCTCACATGGAAGAGTGTGAGAAGCTGTTTTGCTCTGTGCCTTTGTGCCTAAGCACATGGCTTGACTACACTGATTGACCCTAATCACAGTTAGTTCAGGACAACAAATGTATTCGGAACTACAACCTCCATCAAGAGATAAAGAAAGATATCAGTTGATACTTCACTAGCATAAGCATAAAGCAAACAAACTTCTTATCGTTTTCAGGAACTCACCAAATCATTTATCTCTGCCTCAGCAAATGATTTACCATCCAAAAGCATGCTCCAAGCAACTTTGTTAATTTGCAAAGAAATTCGCATGGCAGAGGATGAACTTTTGTTCTTTTCTTTCTCCATCAGCCGTTGCTGAGCTGCTTTCTGCAAAGCAACCCGTAAGGATAGAGAGGCCGCCTTCCTATATTTTTTTGCATTAATAAGTTCTCTCTTCAGTCCTTGCACCTACACAAATCAAGTTCATATTGCTTAAAATCTGTTGTGTACTAAAGAATAACAACCAATCTGCGTGCTGTCTTAGAAGACCAATAAACAAATAGGCATATGGAATCTTAGAAGGCCAATACACATACACAAACACAAAATCTATGCCCAGACTGTAATGAACCCATTTATAACTAACGTAATAAAAAGTGCAGATAAAAGGTGATACAGTCAAAAAAGAAAAAAAAAACAGAGAGCCTGCAGCATTTACAACAACTCCAAAATGCCTTATCAAGGTTCGTTCTTAGCCCCATAGTCAGCCTCTGTAACTCAACAAACTTTCTTTTGATGTCCGAAGTGTATTTTTGAAAGAAATGCCAGATACGCAGAATTATGTAAATCAGTGTCACCTTTTCTAGATTTGATGATTCTATACATGTAGCTGGAGTATCATCCTACATTCACAAAGTTATATTTTCAATTTCAAGGAAATTATCCCACATGCATACCATTACAGATACCCATATTTTCAGTGATAGGTATACCAGCTGAGAAAACACCTTAGAAATTGGTTCTGGCAGGAAAGGAATGCCAAGAAGGAATTTAAAATTCAGCCTTAACCAGTAAGATAGTGTGCATCTTAATTAAACTCCATATTACTAATAATTACCTCTGACAATCAGTGCTTCACTGCATAAAGAAATTTATGGGTCCATAGGAAATATATTTCCAGGAACAAGGACCATGACCATTAGAGGTTTCCCAGACAAGATAAAGTGGGAATCAAGCACACGTACTAAATTATTTGACCTATCAATATTTAAAATCAAGTCTTTCACATCACATGTTAAAATGAAGTTGATAAAGTGAAAAACAAGAAAGTTCAGCTTTCGACTTTACTTATATGAGTTGGCTTATAATATAGGTCCTCTAATGATATTAACCTTTTTAAATTTGAGAAGAACATTTAAAGAGAGCATAAGTCTGCAAACATGGAAACTTGATATTTAAAGATTGTTGACAAGGTTCACTTTCTTACCAAAATAGATCTCCCACCATTTACCATCCACCAATCACCTTCCTCTTCCAGATGGTCTCCTGAAGTATCACAATGAAGAGATAACTTCTTAATGTCATTGAGTAGCAACTTCTGCTCCCGTTCTTTCTGTTCAAGGGTGATTTTGGCAAGTTCTACCTCTTCAACACCATCAGGAACCACCTCATCTGCCTCCTCCCCAACATCTTCATCATCTTCTCCAGGACAAGAGAGACTACTTTTTCGAGGCCTGAATTAAACATGTTACTTGCCTTAAATTTGGAAGAATATGATAATGTTAAATACCAAAAACATCTTTTGGTGCAGAGATTATGCAACTGCTTTATGTAATTAATAAACACAAGAGATGATTGCATCCAAATGATAGATATGATGAATGTTGAAGAATAGGTTACATTTCAAAAAGAACAACATTAAGACTGTTAGCTAACAAGTGTAAAGCAACTTTGAGTGATATATTAATAGCAATATTAAACCCAAAAAATATGATTATTGTTTTTAAAATAGTTTTTAAAAGGAGGCCTGGTAAGGTTAAGAAACAGCTGCTGGCCATCCTCATATTTTGTCTAGCATAGCAGGTCTATACTTGATCAAACTAACTGGAAAAACAAAGATTTAATTTATCAATTAAACACAAGCAGGAAAGGTAGTAGAGTAGCATTTCAACCAACCTAATACTAGGCAAACGAATGATTTATGCATACTTTTTAAACAAAATGATAGCAACCTGTGGTCAAATTCATCTTTTCATGCCAAATCTACAACTTGGATTTGGATCAATCAAGGGTGTTCTACACATGCCAATTCATAGGTAGGTCCCACTTTTACAGGTGAAAAAAAATGAACTTGTCTACTTAGAAACACTATTACAATAATATCCATTGGCTGAATTTTGTTGTTTCAAAAGAAAAAATGAAGAAACAAAGATTTTCTTTTAAGTCCAGCATTTGCCAAAAGATGGATCCAGGACAAAGTTGTGAACATGCAGAAACTCTTATAATTAATAACCACGCATACTATAATTTCATAAAAGAGACATTGTTATTAAAAAAGAAAAAAGTTCAGAGAAAGAAAAGGAAAACAACTGGGGCATGGGCGTGTACTCACTTGGGAGTCCGAGCAAAGAGAAGATTGGTTAATACATCCAGCATAACTTGAAACTGACGAGATGTCATGGTAGCTGTTATGTTGTGAGAGTTAAAGGTCAGATCCTTTAACGGCTTCACCTGAAACAGAGTGAAAAAGAAAAACATATGCAAATTTAATATAAGAGAAGTCTAGTGCTTTATAAAACTGCCCAGCATTGAAGTGATTGACCATGAAGGATAGCAACTTCAGACTATAAGTAGGTCTATCAACAATCTAGACTCTTTCAAAATTTCAACAAGTTGGAGTTTGCCTAACTAAGGATGTTCTAGTATTATTTATTCTACACTCTGAATTAAACAAATAGCACTCTCCTATTATTTCTCTTCAGTATCTTCGTTTCTTAGTATTATTTTTTAAAGCAACATTGTATTTTCTTCACGAAAGATTTAGTTTTAATACTTTTTACTGTTAAAATACATCTCCTTTTACTTGTAATCAATGTGCCACAATACTTAGACATAGAAATCTTTGCAAAAACAAATACCTTGAAAATGTCATATTACCTTCAAGTCAGAGGTTCCACCTTTATGCCTTGTGTATCGGAAGTACATATCACAAGGCATAAACACTCTTTCAAGTAGAGCACCAGTACGCTTGACCTCTGGAGAACTACGAATTTTTGGAAGCCACTGTATTCCAGCCCCAGGATCCACATCAGTTGGTGCAACATGAGCCTGCACATGCTCCAGCATCACAGAAAACTCCATGCGTTTCAATGTCATGTCATGCCCACCTTCAGGAATATGAACATTTCCAGTACCATTTGCTTGCTCAATCATCTCACAGCCAACATGAAGAACTGAATGAAATGATCGGGCTAAAACACGACCACTAACAGCAGCGAGAAGAAATCTCCCCTGATAGGCATGAAGAAGTGATTTTACTGAAAACATGACTAACATAAGATGACGACTATCAACAAATCATTAAAGAAGAGCAGTCAAAAAAATATCATTCAGATCAGAATGTACTGCAAGACCTCCCTAACATATAGCTAGTGAACTCAGGCAATGATTTCAGAAATATACGAAATGTGCAGAATATTTCCAATGACAAGTTATTCTTTACAATATGCATTATGAAGAAGGAACAAGCTTATTAGATGCAAAAAAGTCATAACTCACATTGGCTTCTTCAGAGTGAAGATTGAATTGAGGCTCAATGACATTCACCATAAAATGACAAGTCCCTTCCTCTTCGGAATCATTGACCTTTTCATAGTTTGCTAGTGCTACAGTAAAACATACAAGTCTCAGCTGTAACCTTTGGAAGTAAAATAATCATGTTTATGTAATTTAGCAACATGATGATAATTATAACAAAAAATTTGTCTTTGTTGCAGCTAACATCCATGGTGGTTGACCAATGAACTTAGAAATACAAAACCTCACTAGCATTATATAGAACATATGCATCTCAAATTTAATGTGTTAAAACCAAATTTTCAATATAAGTTTGACACATACCAACTGCAGCAGTAGATGAATTTTCCATCCCAACTGCATGTGATAGAGATGAATTGGATCCTGATGTTTCCACATGTTCAGAAGGAGAAGGCACACCATGGTTGGTAGAAGGGGACTTCGGAGCATCCTCTTGAGGCATTTCAGGTTCACCAATTTTCTGGTTCTCCTCAAGTAACTTCCTCCGTGCATACTGCCGAGAAGGAGAAGGCTTTTGAGGTTCAAATGCTTTGGACATTGCACCAACAAACGACCACACAGCATATCGATTCTCTATGGTCCACAACAGTTTAAGGCTGTAAACAAAAATACGCTGACAATTGTCAGCTATAACCACATTGTATCCATCATCATCACTAGGATCTGAGCGTGTGTGCTCATCACTTTCACTCCCATTCTCAAGTTTAGGTCTGACATATGTCATTTCAAGATTTTTTTTCCCAGCCTCTTGCCATGCCAATAAACTTGCAGGATCAGCTTTTGGGGCCTGCCTCCTGATTGTAAAATAGTCAGATGACAAAAAAAATCCTTCATCACGATGCTTCTCGGTGCAACCACTCATATAATTACTTTTTTCACTAGGAACTTGCTCCATGGAAGCAGACTGAGAAGTTTTCGTTGTCATTTCAACTACTTTTGTGACACTAGTGCAATCTTCTTTGTTTAAAAAAATCTTAGGCATATGAAGGTCAAGCCCCTGGTACACAAGATCAAGAGGATCACGAAAGCATTCAAAAGTATATTTTTGCTTACCCCTGCTGGAACAGATTTCACATTTGAGCTTTGTCATACTAAATGTCAGTCCTTTAGCTGGATCATCATCATCTAATGTCATATGCTTAAGGCAAATAGGCATAGCATCGAAACGAAGCATAAATTCTGTCATCACCCTATCTAATGACAAGTTTCCTGATCTAGGAATTCTTGGAACTCCAAAACGAGGCCAACGAGAGAAGAAACGCAATTTGTGAGGAGGAAGATAGTTCAAATTGCAGAACTTAACCATCCAAGCTAGATCATGTGCACTGAAATTCACTGTTGGTGAAGCAATTGAAACATTCTCAGCATTACAATGTGCCCCATTTAGAGTTCCATCAAGAACAGTGCAATCTGATGCTGAGGCAGATGGGGATTGTTTATCCAACGGGGGAAGTGGGGGTTTAAGAGAAAAGTTCCAACGGAGGGAAAGAGCAGTAGATCTGAAAGGATCAAATACTTTCTCCCGAGGCACCCCTTCCATAGGAAGTGCAAACAAATAATGATTCATGGGATTACCAGAGTCGCAGTCCCAATCCATTGTAACCTCAACGCTAAAGACTGGAGCTTCAAGGAAAGCACCAGAGACACTGGTAGGAAGTTTTAAATTGCGACTATTTACCAAACTCTCCAAACTACTCAAGACAATTTTGAAATCCTTTGCAGAAAGATAAACACGGCCATCTGATTGCTGTATCTCCATCGAACCAGAAACAATTTCAAGTTTGTCAAGCTTTTCATAGGGATCACTAGTTGCAAGAATGCTCCATTTAGTTTCAGAAAAGAATAAGGAGATATTTCCATGGATGTAATTTCTCATGTCATCCCACCATGGTAAGCTCTTCTCCTTTTTTGGCGGCTGTGGAAGACCTGGATGCCTATTGCTTAAATTAGCCCTACGAAGTGCCACGGTGAAAGCATAGCTTATGTCAGCAAAAACCGGTTCATATCCCACCCCAAAGGACACTTCCGATTTTTTAAAATGTATAGGCAAATCTGAGTATGTTTTCATCGGCGGAGTTGTACCACTGGCTGAACGAAGCATGCGGACCTTTCTCCACCTCCCAATGAAGACATCATCAAAAATTTGGGGCTGAAAACATGTTGCCTAATTTTCAAAGAAAATAATTCAATCAGAGTTAGATCAGCAACCTTCCTCCCTCCCTCTTTTTTCCAAAAAAGACATATATACAGAAAGAATTTCAATATAATTATCTTTGCATTTAGAGTCGGACAAGAGCAAAAAAAGGGAAGGGGGTTAGTTTAGGAGTTTACCTGCTGTGCTAGCACAACACGGCCTTCACATCTACCAGAAATTGCAGAAAAAAGAGGAAATGTGTAATTTCTTAACTGAACAGCTAGACTGCCAGTGTTTAAGAGAATATTACTCCCATACAGTCGGGAAAATGGTATATTACTTTCATGACATACTGGATCAAGCTGCTTTAGAACCTCTATCATCCCATCATCTCCACCATCAATCCTTGTCAAGGTCACATCTAACTCTGTAGCTGAAACAGAAAGAACAGAAGTTCTTGCAGTGCTTGGCCTAAAACCAGCCTGAAAACCTTCCCTCCAGGCACCTGAGCCTTCCGATGGTTTTAGCTTCTGACATGCCAAGTAATAGGATCGAAAAGACTGTCTATATAACTCTTCTTGCATTTTTTTTATTGCTGAAGGATCTTGCACATCAATCTCAGCTCCATTATAGTGAATCCTTCTTTCACAAGCAGAATCATTAGTTTCAGCAGTTTTAGAAGACTGATTGGCCAAAATATAATCGTCAAGAAATTTCAACCTAACAGCTAACTCAAGGGCCTCATTCTTCATTAGATGATAGTGCTCATCAAGCCAACCCTGCATTGCTTCTTCCTCAATATCAGCAGTCAGCTTACGTATGCAGAACCTCACACATCCAACTTTTGTTGAACTAGACTTTTTAGGTTTGGAGCTTTCTTTCTTCATGGGAAAAATTAGCTGAGTTTTAGCAGAAGTTATAAGCTTCAAAGCTCGCAACATCTCCTCAACAGCATCATCAATGGCACGCAACTCCAGCCTGAAAGGCATGCAAATATGAACATCAAGTGCTTGAACCACCCAATCCCACACAGTGGCCACCAGCACTTTTGCATCAGATGAGCTGGAAGCATTGGGAATACGGGAAATTTGCATTCGGCTGCTTTTGAATATCTGGGCTCCATTGAAACTAAGCATCAGTCCTTCAAAAAGTACTCCTATGCGGGCGTTCTCAGAGAAAATTGACTGAACCTGCACAAGTGCATCAACTCCATCTCCAACTTCAGCAGATATACAAAGCATCTCCACATCAACAGCAAATATAGATTCTTTTTTCTTTGTTTTATCAAGATGGCCCGATTCCATCACAGTGACTTCTTTCTTCTGCTCAACATCTCTTACACCTGAGACATTATCCATGTGTTCATTACCAAGTCCCTTAACCTTCTGATTATGAACCAGTGCTTTCAGTTGCAAAACAAGTTCAAACAAAGACAGATGTGCATCAGGCTCCCATAGGATGGAGATATCAGTAGCACTGAACAGAGAGCAAACAGTTATCTCCTTAAGGCCACTGGAGCGTCGTACAAATTTTGCATTCTGCATGTCAAATAATGCAACTTTTGTGTCTGGTTTATCTTCTGCAAGATGTTCCTGATAGATAGATCTGGCTCTTTCAAACTCCACCTGTGTGGATTGTTTCTCCTTGTTCACACACAAACTAAACTGGAAGATGTCAAGCAAAAGAGAGTATTTTAATTTCTTGCACTGATCAGAAACTGTGGACATTATAGTTGCATTACGTGGTGTACCATCAGCTGAAACACTAATAACAACTCGACCACCCTGAGACCCATAATTTACACGCTTGGGATCAGCCACAACTGTGTTTTCCAAGCAAGTTTCACCACAAAAACCAACTGAACAGTGCTCAAGATTAATTTTTAAAAGTTGAGTGCCCTTCCCTGAAGGTTTTGACGAACGCCCAGCCCGGCTCTGTGTTGCTTTCTTACCAGCAGATTGACTTTTGAAGAGTGCTTGAAAGGACATAGCTGTTACTATAAGTGATTCAACACGCTTAAACGTGAAATAAATGCCCAATCCAGTTACATCAGCAGAAAGAACTAATTTACATCTAAGGCCATCATCTTCAGATGATTCCGTGTCCTTTTTACCCCAATCCAGACTAACCTTTGCTATATGCAGTAAGGAACCTGAATTTGATTCCACACTGGAAAGGCTTTCTTTCAAGCATTCTTGATATTCATCTGCCATATGCAAATTCAGCTCACCAAGTTCCATGTGTATTGTGGTTCCTGTACTTGAAGTGTTGTTAGCAAACACATGCGATGACTGTAAGCAGCACTGCATTGGAAATCAAGGTCAAGTGGTGTCTTAGTCATTGCTTCATTCTAAAAGGCAAACACAAACCAATTTAGGCATAAAAAGTGAATAACAAAAAGAACGAACATAGAGACCAAATAGAATATCCTGTTACTTGGAAAAGCAACTAAATTATAAATGTGACTAGAGATGAAATTAAGATATCCTCCTATACCCACTTACATGCATACATACTTACATACATACATACATATACATATATATATATATATATGTATATAAACTTCTTAGGTCTGCAAAACCACCATAAGCATACAAGCATTTTGGATAAAATCTTTAATTTTCCTTTGGGGTGGCCCAATGAGCAACCTGTTCGTATTCAGAGTTTGTTAAACAGTTAAAGTAGGACTCTTCTTTTAGCAATATGCTGATTTTAATTGGTGCTAATTTTAAGCGAACACAGCATATTTTCATTATATAGACTTCCACCATGGTTCCCACCAGCTGGTAGCAAAAATATCGACTTCACAGCACCACCCAGAACAAAAAAGCATTTGACTAATGCGTCAGAAGTAATGTGCTAGTAGAATAAGTCAAATACTAGGCATAATCATCTGGCAAAAAAATTTAGTTAGAGAAGATCAACTGAAACTAAACTACAACTAGGAACCCAAGAACTCTGCGTATAAATCCTACAATACCAACAATGTTCTGCCAGAAAAAGATTACTAGTGGATTATGTACCCTTCAGATATAAAAACTTGTGCTACATAGCACAAAATGAGCTGCAAGATGAAGGCTCAGCCATTTCCCAGATACTTGATATAAGAAAAGACAAAGCATGTTGCTTACATGATGCAGCGGCACATCACTGATACTATAAAGCGCAATTATCATCTCAGGGGCTGAGACAGTACACGTCCACGTGAAGGCTTTGGATTCAGTTGATTGTGGCTTCTCAAGAGTAGAAGTTTCCTCTTGAAGAACCATTCCCTTCTTTTTGGAGGATTGCAATCTCAACCATGGCTTTAATCTACTCATTATAATGTTGCACCGAGTCCCTCTAAGCTTAACATCAACCTCAGCTCTAACAGGTGAGATTAGCTGAAAAGCAACAGCATTAAAAAGAATAAGTCACTGAACCAACCCGATAAATTATAAATGTGGCACCCACGCTATTATGTTTTAGCAAGTCCATATGTTTCTAAAACTATACAGCTACCAAACAAAGGCAAAATAAACTGGTAGTAGTTGAACTACATAGAAATGAGAGGGGAAAAAAGCTTCCTTATTCCCAAACAAAAAAGGGTGCTGGCAAGAGTCAGTCTTTGAACCGGGCAAGTAATCTGGCAGTATAAATAAACTAAAGATGTAGAACAGGCCAAGTAAAAATAAACATTAAAGAGTAAAGTGACATCCTTCTCAATCAGAGAGAAAGCCTACTACTTATCTCCATCATTTAACGGGGACCAAAATAAAAGCAGTGAACCCTGTTTTAGCCACCCAAGTTGACAATGGGAAAGAATAGAACAAGGAAACTAGAAAAGTTGGAATTGCTAAAGGTAACTGTTACCCAGTTTGCTTTTCCAATCTTCAAGATGATCTTTAAGAACCACAAAGCAGCTTCTTCAACCAGTTGAATTGGGGAACGATTCACCTATCTGGGAAATTCGGCTCCCAGGACCCATATTGGGTCTAAACTGGTAAAAACCAGTCCCTATCGGGAAATTAATAAGGTCTTTTCTTCTAAAAAGGTTGTCTGCCTGGAAAATTATATGGTTTTTTATTTTATCAAATCATTGCCTTTTAAAGGTAGGTCAAGTTGGGTCATGTTCAGATTTATCTTTTCCCAGTGGGTATGAGACAGATGCTAAAAATTGTAAAGACCACAGTCAGGTTGAATTGGGTCAGGTATAGGTGAAGATTGTGTATTTTTTATTTGCATTCAGGTTAAGCAAACAAACTTTGGAACATAACCAAATCACTAACACAAGACCCAGGCATTCAAATAGAAATAATTCAACTACCAATCCAAATTAAATCCTCCAAAAGGACATAACAAGATATCAATTATTATTCATTTTCTATCAAGCCACAATGCTAGACATATGACCCACATAAAATGCTGATGCCAGGTCAGATCCAAGAATTTCTGATTTGACAACTAAAAATGATAGTTTCTGAAATCATACTCATCTGAAATCACTTGGTAAAAGACAGGAAGCAAAGTAACAAGAGAATAAGTGGAAACTTGATGACAGCATTTTGCTGTCAAAACATATTTTTACCTGTTGTACAACACAGACAAAGTAAAAGGTAGCAACTTAACAAAGACACCGACCTGCCATGATTTCACAGGAGTCACCTGAATTGGGATGTAGACAAAAGAGACAACATCGACTTTCGTTATCTCCAATACAGAAGAACCAGCTTCTCTAATAAGCTGAAATAGAGAGGAAAAACCAAAGTCAATAATAGGCCGAGATACAAGATTATAGTTAAAATTAAAACACAGATAGCTGGAATATCAATTTTAATGGCTATACATGTATCTCACTGAAATCCAACTGAACATCAAGGCGTGTACTCTCCCCCACATCTTCAGTTGGTCTTGATTTGATGCTTTTCAATTGAATGCCCAGGATGTTATTTTCAACAACAATATCAAGTTCCCAATGCACAAACTTCACATCTAGTTTTCGTAAGTTGAAACAAATCTGTCTCCAAAAACAGATATATGAATGAATAAATTACATAATCTTCCCACCAGTGCATTCAAATAACTTGAGCATTGTCTATCTTCTTAATATTATTTGAATAACTTGAGCATTGTCTCTGAGCTACATATTTTAATTCTCAATTCTCACTATTTAACACAAGACAATATTACTTCATGAAACAAACATTCATCCTCTTCTGTAAGGCATAGAATCTTAATAATGCCCCTCTTCAGCGAAATTCTTCACTTATTTAGTTTCTTCCATTCTTAGCTTCCACGTTACCTCTGTGAGCTGGCAGTCTTTTCTTAAGCTCACCAACACTAAACCAAAACAGTTATTTCAAGCAGTTTGGAATTACATCTTTAATTGCTCAATCCAGTAGAACATTGAAATAACAATTTTCATGATAGCTAAAGAGGTAAAACAATTATCACCAAGCCCCAACAACAATGTTTTGCACTCTAATAATGAAGGATTGTGTGCAGATGCTTCAAATCTTTGTATTCAATAGTAACTTAATTAGAAAAAGGCTGCCAACCTTAGAAGAGAGGAAAACCTATAGCAATCTTATCTCTATTGATGAGTGAAAGCACAAACCTTTTCTGGAAACATAGAAGCATATTTTGTCAATGCTAAAATTGTAGCTTGTTTTTTCTGAGGCTTTTTACTGGTTACAATATCAGCAGTTGACCCTTTAACTTTATCAGTTTGAGAAAAAACATCTGGAGGTTTTTTATTCTTTGAGAACAGCTCCTTATTGAGGTTCACAATAATCTCTCCACAGTTAATGTCCACATTTTGGACAACTACACCAGCTTCCCTGCATGCAAATTAAACAAATAGAGAATATTTTAGAACATAAAGCAAAAGCCAAAACAAGAGATACAAGTTTAAGTGGAGAATATGTGTACAAGACAGAAAGGAAGCCCAAGGAAGCCTTATGCAAGAGTTAAAAATTTACCACCATTAACTGAACAACAACTGACCAACAAACTTATGCCGAAGATAATGCGATGGAATTGTTTGGCCATTATAAAGAAAAATTCAGAAAGAAAAGAAATACCTATCATGGCCAAATTCACAAGAGAGAGAAAACTCTTCACAGCAAAAAGGAGCAGAAGGCTTTTCCATAATGCCAGAGAGCAGCTGAATAGTGTGGACAGAAATGGGTAATATGTGTAGTTTAAAAAACAGATTGGGTTTGGAGCCACCATCTTTAGATATATCTACTTTGAGTTCCTTAACTTCAATAGTTGCTTTAGGTGTCTGCATAGTCTCAAGATAAAATTATAAAAAACTTCAAATATAAAAGGACAACAGAAAAAAATAATTAATAAAAGTATACATTGGTATTGGATCTATGTGAAACTAGGGCATTCATAGATTGTTGAACCTTAACTAGATGATAAAGCATACATGATATTAGGTGTCTGAACAGGATTGGACTCTAACAGTTCTTTTTGATAAAATGAGCTAACAAATATGTCTATCAGAATCATACCCCAATATCAATTTAGGTTCCAAACTGTGCAGACATGTGATATTATGCAGCATTGCGGGAACCAACAAGAAGTTCTTACTGAATTTCTTATTTGATAAGTTACAATCAGAACAAAGGCACCAATCAAAAACCAATGTGCTGAACTTATAACATTACACATTGTTCCCCATCACACTCTCCCTAGCTCCCTATTTAACATTTATTCCAGAACACACATGACACGCCATCAAAGCATTGAATAATTATGTGCTGCAAATGAGTTACGCAAAATGTGGACCATAATTTAAAAGGAAGAAAAAAAAAGGTCAAAGACCAGTTACCTTCAAAACGAAATCCGTAATAGAAACTGACAAAAATCTTGCAATGTTAGCTACAGTCATCCACTTTCCCCTGCCTGAAGTGCGAGGTTTCCGGGATTTAGCTTTCTGTGAGCTTTTACTTGAAGGCCTCAATACAATTTCTAAGTCACATATTAACAGCTGTAGCTTTGGATGCTTAGAAATAATGCCAGCCCCAAGTTTAACCAAGGATTGACCTAAACTGAGCTTAATTTCTCCCACTAATATGGATTCAACAGCACCCTGAAAATTATCCAAGCAATAAAAATATGATGAGCACCATGAACAGGTACATAGGTCGCGAAATAGTAGCTGGAACAAAAAGCGGGAAATGAGACTAAATTAGTAAGTACTGAAACAAATTCAGATTATCCAGATAGCCTTCATGCTTTTCAAAGGGGATTTTTAACTTTTTCTAATACAGTGGATTGGCTTCAAAGACAACCACCTAATCCATTTATAAATAGAAAGGTCAGTAATGAGACTAAAGCTACATAACAAACCATAACTACACTATCCCACTCATAATTTAACCAATATAAAAATACATACATACATACATACATATATATATATATATATATATATTCCAGTCAAAGAAATTCAACTTAAAGACATACTTAACTCTTGCCTGCGCCTCCTGAACATCCATTCAGATTTATTTCCAATGCAAAACACTCCCAACCCAAATTAAAATAATAAAAGATTAGTGATGACCAGTTTCTTCACATACTAACACAAGAAGATTTTACAGAGGTAAAAGGTGCATCTTGCAAAGCCAAATCGAGGACAAAGTAATGCATATAAGTTGACAGCAAACAAAACAGCCCCTCATTGCAATATTATGCCAAGTGATATATGCCCCATCATATATGAGACAAATACCTAGAACTCCACCCAGGAGACACAGCATGAAAGGAAAACTTCAACTCACAAAGGTCCATGCTACTCCTTAAGTGAAAATACTCCATATTATCCTCTCAACCAAAATCTAGTTCCAGACCTACTTTGTGCTTGGTAGGAAAAAAAAGTGACAAGATAGAAAGATGCAAGAGGATACTGGAAAGATAAGATAAAACACTTTTCTGAAATAGGAGAGGTAATCTATTGGGAAGAATATACGAGACACCAGTGTTTTCTATCCAATTCATAACAACCCGTCTTTCCAATTTTAACTGAATTGTTGGACTAAAAAACAGAAAGATTAGGATTCTATCTACTTAATCTCCATTTTCCCCTCATAGATTGAAAGGAACATGAAATAGTTTTGGTAAAACATCATATTATGAAATAACAAAAAAACCCAGATGTAAGTGTAATAACTTTTCACTTTTTCCACTTTCTTTCTTCCAACCAACCAAGAAAGTAGAAGAAACATTTATCTTGGCAACCACTTTTCTCTCCTTCCCAAGCACAATGAGGAAAATATAAATTACTTTTCTTTCTCCCATAATTCCAGTGCTCAAACTTTCAATCTTCTCACTTTTTCAGCCTTTCTGACAAGATTGCTTAATAAGTAAATTGAATAATGCCGGAGAGAAAGTTAAATTGTTCAACAGTTTAAGGACTCTCTTATTAGTGACTAACAGAGGCTTTAATAAGTAACTTACAATTATGAGCCCTAATTTAACAGAACATTGAATATCAAAACAACCAATTGAAGTACAAGAAAACCTTATTGAGCTTCACCACAACATCCCTCAAACATCTCCATCCATCAATGCGGAATCCAACAGATGCTCCGACAATCCGACATAGAATCCAAACCAGCAACCTCGAAGCAAATCTAAAAAGGGAAATAATATGTACAACAGAAATTTTAGCAATCACTCATGGATCATCACTTCAAAGTTCGAACAAAATACAAGCATTAATTAAGAAATTAAAAAAATTTGTACATAAAAACAATTTCGATTCATAAATATCTCATTGGAATTATTTTGCTCAAGAGAAGAAGAAATAAATCATCTGCGCCAATTACAAACTTGTAAGTAACTAAATTAACCACATATGAAACCGTTTTTTATCTCCGAAATTAGAAACAATGCCAAGAAGCACTAAAGAACGATGAAAGAATTTCCCATTTTTTTTAAAAAAAATCAAATACAGAATAATAAAATCGAAATGCATAAGCAAAAAGCCGATCGAAATAACATTTCGGACAATAAACCAAATAAAAATAAGCATGTCGATATTTACATAAATAAATTAAAATTCAAAAAGTGAAAAGTGGAGGGACTTACATGAAAACCATCCACAATGTGATGGAAATCATCAGGAATCCAAAGAGAAACTTGACGGAAGAAGCAGCCATTTTTATCCTCAGTGGCAAAACTGTAGTTCTACGGAACCGTAGAAAATCCGATCAACTTATCGGATTCCAAAAAGAAGACGAAGAAGCGCAAGAGTAAGAGCCTCTGAACGTAATAACATTAGATGGAAAGTAGAAGAAAAGGAGCAAAGGTCCCTTAATAAAATCGAGTGTCCAAAATATGGAAAGCGATCGGAGAGATTATATGAGGTAATTAGACCGAGTCTTCGAGGCGCAGCGATCGGAGGGGAGAGTGTTGCCATGAAAGAAGATCCGATCCGTGAGGTGCTCGCTGATCAATTGGACTGACCGTTGCTGTATTCTGTTTCCGCTAATATTTTTAATTTGATTTGGAGGGTGCAGAGGGAGACGGGTGTGTTGGGAGTTTTCTTCAGAAACGCGGGAATGGGATGTCCGTTTCAAATGGCGGACGTGTCCTCGGGAGATTGGTGGGGGAGGGTAGAATCAATCCCTTAACGTTGCGTTTTGTTCTGAGTCAGCGTTCTGGTTTCGTTTGTGAGGAGGTATTGCGTGACCAATCGGCAACGTGGATTTGTTTCGCGGCTGAATCTGATTGGTCCAACATGGTGGTCAACAATAGCATTGTTATTACTTTACAATTTTTATTATTCTTCATAAGAGAAAAATAAAAATAATATATTAGTATACTTTTTAAAAACAAAAATAAAAAGTTAATTGATGTACTCCGTTACATTCAAAGCCATATATAGGTGATATATAATGTAATTAAGTGAAGGAATTATTTCTATGATATTGGCTTTTTTTTTAATAACTTTCATTTTTCTACCCATTTAACCAAGCACTAAACAAATTTTGTATAATTTTGTTCAAAGCTTCATAATGCATGTAAAAGTAAGCAAAAAATTATTTTAATTGATACAATTATGAGTTTTAAATGCTTGATCACTTCATGTTAATTACATTAATATTAAAGTTTCAATAAGGCAGTATTATAAGGGGTAAAGTTGACAAAATTAACTTAAAAAATTAATCCAAATTTGAATATAATCTATTCAAGTTAACAAAAAATAATTATTAATTTAAATTCATCAAATTCAAATTAACATTTAGAAACTCCCTCATGAAAATAAGTTTTTTCACCCACTTCACATTTTTGCATTTTTCTTCATTACTTACAATTCCAAGCTTGCAAGATTCTTTTCCTTTCAAATCATTCACGCATTTCGACTTCATATTTTTCAACCTACCACTTTCGAAACAATGTGAGGCCTAAGCTACGGAGATTATCGGTTAGGCGAGTAATGGATCTTAATGTTTTATGTCAACAAAAAATCAAAATAAATTTGTGACAAATTAAGATTGACGATAAATTATAAGGCTCTTAATATTTTTTTTGCAAATGATAAGTTTTTTTTTTCTCAAAAGAAAGTCATTATTCATAAACCTATCACAAGCTAAAATTTTCTCAAAATTCAACCTCAAAGGCAGGATTTTGGTGGATTTTAATAAGTAGGTATACATGCACAAGACAAATATAAAATAGCGTTTTATATCCTATAACACCATTTTCAATGGACAATTATGCTTTTGGTTTAAAAGTTGTTTATTCACTATTTCAAAAAGTGATGACTAAGATTTTTACCTCGATTCTCAAGCATAAACTCATTTATATTGATGATATCTTTCTCTTCTCTTCAGATATCATATCTTATATACAGCTATTGGATAAATTTTATACAATTGTCTAACAATATGGGATAAAACTCTCAAAGAAAAAAATGATAATTAGTACCTCAGAAATTGATTTCTTAAGTATGCATTTGAAAAATAGTCAGTACATTGCTTAACCACAAATTGCTAAGACTCTTGAAGATTTTCTTAATGAAAATATCTCTAAGAAACAAGTGCAATAATTCTTCGACATAGTAAACTACATAAGTGAATTTCTTCCAAATCTTATTCAGATAACTCATCCCCTCAGATAGATATTAAAGAAAAAATCACCCAAGTGGTCTCAAAACCAAAAGCAAACACAGTTAGTGCAGATACTAAAGATATAATCGTAATCATTTTCAACTTTAAAAATTTTCTCTAATAGAAAGAGAACACTACAGATAGATGTAAGCGACAAATATTAATCAGTAATGTTGATTGAAGAAAAAGATGAAAATAGATAAATATGTGGATATAAAAATACAAATTCAAAGATTCAAAAATCAATTATCATTCTACGCTAAAAAAGATTTTAGCAGTGAAATATAGAATCAAAAGATTTGAATTTCACCTCATTGGATACTATTTTCTCGTAGAACTAGATATGTCAACATTTGACCATATGTTTAATTTCAAGCAAAAGCAATATCAAATGCACAATTACTCAAACTCTCTCGATGATTGCAAAGTACTTATTCACCATAGCACATATAAAAGGAAAGGATAATGTTCTCTTAGATATGTTTTCCAAACTTTCTCTCAGACCTTCTTCGAGTTTTTTGAAGATTATTCTTATGATATGAATGATGAATCTTTCACCTTCTTACTCTCAAGCCTTATTCTCAAAAAACCCCTTTATTCTCCCTTCAACAAAACTTCACCCTGGTAATGAATTTGACCTCCTTGATAAATTCTTCAACATCCTAGTTGAAAAACTCTCGTAAGAATTACCCAAGTTAATTGCAACCAAATCCTTTGACCAAAAAGCTCCACATTTTCTTTCAAATACCAATCCAAAATACTCAGAAGATTTGGAGACGCATCCATCCAATCCTTTAGAATACACACAGACTATTTTTTCATTCATCCCTTCAAATTGCCTGACCCTTCCCAAAAGAAACTACTTGTTTCATGTGGAACCTTTGTCACCTTTACTACATTGCTGTAGAATTCCCACTTTCAAAGCTCAAAAGATTACTCCATACTTTTCACTACTCAACTATCAATCCAAAGAAAAACCAGATAGACCCCAGCCATCAACACCTCAAGTTTTTCTTCCAATGGTTCAAACCCATTCTCATAGAGATCCACTGGATAAAAACCTATGAAAGATACATTAGAGTTTTCCTTGATCTTCACATTATTTTAATCTTTCAAAGATCTTACAGTTACTTGACAAATGAACCATAGTATTTTTCTTACACTATAATTTATAACTTACAAGGTACATTATCAGATTTTTTGTTTGACCATCCTACTAAATACACAAAATTTTAGAAACAGATATGTGATATGAACTATAAGATTTTTAGTCAAATTTGGCTAAAGCTTCAATATGATGTTTCATGGGATAACTACCTTTCAGAATACAATTATTAGCTCAACATTGATAAGAAGATTTATGAAACAAGATTTGATAATGCATGAAACAAACCTCTTCCTCAAACAACCAGATTTGAACTTGACTATACTAGACCAATAGATTGGAACATTTACTAGACTCTTCTTAATATCATTGAAGAAATAGAATGGTAAGATTCACAAGACCCGTATAAAGATTTTGACCCAGACTAAAGGTTAACAAATATAGGCTATGATTTCACTCTAGATGCAGAGAATTCACATTTGAACCTATTTCCAGAACATACCTAATATTCCCTCAAGTGATGATGCTACCCCAATCAGATATCCAGTCGTAATGCTAAAGTAAGAAATTCTCTGCTCCAGTCTAATTATGTATAATTATGTGTTATGCTTTTCAAATTGCTCCAGAGACTAAAAGATAAAGTTTGGTGTTGACACATCAACTCAAACTTTGTTTTTGTCAACATCAATTTTAACGTCAACTTTATGTCTACTTTACATTTTGTCAACTTTATACTTCGGTCAAGTCATTCTTTAAATTGTTTTCGAAGTCAAGTCTACTTTATTAAAGCTACTTTAATAAAAAAAAAAGAAATCTTATCTTTACTTAATTAAAGATACTTTATTAAAGTTGCTTTAAGTTTAGTCAATTGTTTTATGTTAAGTCATAGACCCGTTATAATTATTATAGATCATGTTCATTTACTTTTTCCTCCTATATAAGTTGTAAACTTTCTTGAAAAGGATTATCGTAACGATTTTGTGTCCGTCCGACAAATTTGGAAATGAAATAAAAAATAATGGAGTCGTCACCAATCTTTTTTAGCTAGGTGCGATTGGCCACCTATTAAAATATATCTTTTTAATGAAATCTTAAAATTTATTAAAAGGATAATTTTAAGGTCTACGCAACAGTCTGGGTTTGAAAGTCGGTTACATGTGGGGAAAGATTAGTACCCCATAACGTCCCTTTAAAACAATACCAATTAACTATATGTTATTCATTGATTTTAATATAAACAGTCTTATTTTTAATGTTTAAAAATAATTTTCTTGATTTTTACATTTATTGGGAATTGGTTTTTATATATTATTTTTATAATATTTATGCATATAAAAAATGTTAAAATTTACCAAAATAAATTTTTATTGTTTTATAATAATAATTAATAAAAATAAATAATACAATTTATAATAAAAGTTTTTAATAAGTATAATTAAATAAAAATAGTATAAATTAATAAAAAAATGTAAGAAAATGGTATTTTTATCCGACGATGAGATTCAAAGGTACTCCGAGTAGTGATACCTACGAAATCTTTAGGTGAAAAAAATTTTTTTAAATACTACCAGTGTATTAGAGTATTTATAAAAAGTTTTCAATACAATAAAATTTTTTATTTTCTTTAATAAAATAATTAATTAATAAATTAAGAATAAGTAATAAAAAATGAGAAAAAAAGAAATTTTATCCGATTATGAGATTCTAAAAGTATTCTGAATAGAGATACTTTAAGAAATCCCTAGGTGATAAAGATTTTTTAAATATTACCAGTATATTAGAATATTTATAAAAAATCTTCAATATAATAAAAATTTCATTTTCTTCAAAGTTTTAAATGAAAAGATTAATAAAACAATTAATAAAAATTTCTAAAGAGTAAAATAAAATGTGTGCATCAATATGTTAGCATTTTCATTGTATGCATGATATAATTTTTATGAAAAGTAAATTTGAACCTCCGAAGATGAGATTCTAAGGTATGCCGAGAAGTGATGCCTAAGAAATCTCTAGGTGAGAAAGAGTTCTTCAAATGCTATCAACGTATTGAAACATTTTAAGAATTATTTCGATAAAAAAGTTTTAATTTATTTTTTTCGAATAATATTCGAATATAAAAACCAATTCCCAATAAATGAAAAAATCAAAAAAATTAATTTTCAAACACCGAAAATAAGACTGTTTATATTAAAATCAATGAATAACACATAGTTAATTGATACCGTTTTAAACGGGCATTGTGAGGGTGCTAATCTTCTCCACACGTAATCGACTCTTGAATCCAGATTGTTGCATAGACCCTAAAATTATCCTTTTAATAAATTTTAAGACTTCATTAAAAGGACGTGTTTTAATAGATGACCAATCGTACCTAGCCAAAAAAGATTGATGGTGACTCCATTA